CTAGTTTAGGAGAAGCATCCACATTTCATTCAACATGACACGCTCCCTAGGAAACTTTCCACAGTGCCCACATCACTAGAGGCTGGACTTGCTATGATCACCACGGCTCTTGGGCCAACCCTGGAAACATTCTAAAGACACAAGCTTGGCAAGAAGCCTAAAGAGAAATACCCAGAAGTCCTATGGGTTATTGCATCTCAATGCACACTTCTCAGACAAGGACTCGTGGGAAGGCAGACACGACGGGAAAGGAGGTCTCAGGAAAGCTCTCCGAGTCCCAATTCCTAGTCTTAGCTTCCCCTGTTGAAGGTACTGATGGACTTGGAATGGTGGACTGGGACCTGGAATTTCATGTACGGTTCACTTTCTACAAAGGGTGCTTCCAAAGCTTTGTGAAGGAAAGGAGAAGCTATGTGAGAAGGAAAGATATGGAAGTGGCGAGAGGGGAGAGGCAGTCAGTAGCAAGGTACGCATTGTCATGTCATGAATTGATTCAAGTTTTGCTGGACAGGCGCTTTAGGGCCTTGTTTTTGCCCTCAACCCACAGATCCGAGGGCGGCCTAGTGAGGCACAGCCCCCCCGCCCCCCACCACAGGAGTGTTTGTTTGGGTTGGAGGAGGAAGTGTTAAATTCCAACCTCAGCACAAATCTTGAAGACTGCCAATCCAGGTGTGGCAAACAACAAAATGTGCTCTTGCTTTCCTTTTCTCTTTCCTTTCTTGCCAATCAGAGTGAATGGATTCTGAGCTTTTACCGGTGTTTAAATTAATTTTTGATGAAAAAATAAAGTTGGGGGTGGGGAGTGGGAGTTAAAATTACAGCCTGCTCTATAAAGGCAGAGTAATTTCTGGAAGGTCATAGCTGCTACTGGCAAGCGTGGCCTGAGTTAGGAACAATGTACTTGCTGTTTCAGGAGCAAATCCAGGCTGGAGAAGGCTCTCTCTGCATAACTCAGGGTTGGATTTAGTTCTGGATTCATGCAGACCTCTCTGACCGCTGACGGACGAGCCAGGGCTGTATGAGCATTGGCCTGCCACTGGCCCAGACTTTATTCTTTAGTCCTGAGGTCACAGCATTTCCATGTGGGCTTACGATTCCAGTGAGACAGGGAGAGTAGGGGAAGAAGCTGGCATGGGCCCTTGGCTCCTTTACTACCTAGGACAGTGCTTGGCATGCCATAGGTGCTCATCGTGTGTATGTTGAGAAAAGAACTTGCCGAAGCAGCCCTATTCTCTATAGTTGTTTACTGAGGAGACAAAAGCAAGATACAGGGGATGCTATTCAATGAGAGAAACATACAAGGATCTCCTTTTTTTTTTTCGAAATGAAGTTTCTCTCTTGTCGCCTAGGTTGGAGCGCAGTGGTGCGATCTCAGCTCACTGCACCCTCTGACTCCCAGGTTCAAGCGATTCTCTTGCTTCAGCCTTCCAAGTAGCTAGGATTACGGGTGCCCGCCACCATGCCCAGCTGATCCTTTTGTGTTTTTAGTAGAGATAGGATTTCACCATGTTGGCCAGGCTGGTCTCGAACTCCTGACCTCAGGTGATCTGCCAAAGTGCTAGGATTGCAGGAGTGAGCCACCGGGCCCAGCCAATAAAAATCTGCTTTATTTCTCTCTTTCTAAACCTAAAAATTAGATATGCCATTGAGCTTTGTGAGAAACGGGATGAAAGAAGCATTACTTGAAGCAAGTAATCCATGCTTTATTGCCTCTACTTTAGGGGCAAGAAACCACTTTGGTGTTGTGCCTAAGAACGGGGACCCTGCGGACAGATTGCTTTGGATCAGTGTCCTCCCTCCATTACTTTGTAACCATCAGATCTAGGGCAAGTTACTTCACCTCTCTGTGCCTTGGCTCTTCATTTCTAAACTGATAACATTAACAGAGCCTATGTCCTAGGATTGCTGTGACAATTACATATAAATGAGTCAACATATATATAGCATGCAGAGCAATGCCAGGCACATAGCAAGTGCTATTTATGTTCTTCTTTCCTCCTCCTCCTCTTCCTCCTCCTTTTCTTACTTTGTGCCAGTCTTTGTACCAGACCCTTTATATAGATTGTCTTATTTCGCATACAATAGCCCTGTAATGTAAACCCTATTTTATTTATTTTATAATTTAGGGAACTGATTCTAAACAACATTAAGTAATTTGCTTAAGGTCGCGCATCTAGTGAGTGTTGCATACTGTGTCGCTTCCGTCTGTCTGACTTCGAGGCCTGTGCTCCTTGTAAGGTGAGAGGTTTGACATGTTCCCTGCTTGCCATCCTGGTGGCATTCTCTCAACCACCAAAGCTTACAGAAACATGCCACTCAGATTAGCTTCCACCGGACACTGACAGAGGAGCAATTACACCTCTGCCAAAGAAAGTTCTGAATGCCAGTAAGGGTTCTGGCTACTGTGGTATACTTAAAGGAAATGAATTTAGGAAGTTTTCATTAAGATTTCAAGGACAAGAAGAGGAAAATATGAAGCAGATGGAATAAATATTCTTCTACTTTGATTGGTAAGGCCAAAATTCCCTTTTGCTATCTCACGAAGATTGAGGTCCTGGGATTCAGGAATAGGATGCTTTGCTATTTGGTATTAAAAAGCAATAGAGCTCCAAATATATGCAATCAATCCCTCCCATCTTTCGGGAAACCTAAATCTAAGCTGCCTAGAATAGAGAGCCACTTGTCCTGTGAGTAAAGCCACTTTTATAAGATTTAACAGAGAACAGGAGCAGGAAAGAGAAAGACCAATGTAAGGCAGTTGCTAGAAGAACAGAATTGCTTTACAGTTCTGACTTCATAACCTCATTTTCCTGACCTGATAATTCTGAGATTAACTTCTCTGGGTGTATCTAGCAACTATTGCTTCTGTGAGGTGGTCACCAGGCCAGGCGACCTTTTAAGTTTAATGTATTAGAGCCAGCTGGGTGTTTGAGCCAGTCTAAGGAGGCTTGTGAATACTTGCAAGCTGTGTTTCTTTGCCTGGTGGCTTTTCAGTGCCACCTAAGCGTCTATACAGCTATTGTGTCTGACCTGCCCGGGGGATGGAAACATACAGTTGGAAGAGGAGGCAGTGGCTTTTTGTTTTTCTCCAGTAGATTTCTAAAACCTTTAAATGAAGTATTGCCTATATACAGAAAAGCACATAGATCATAAGTATATAGTCCAATGAGCTATCACAAAATGAATGTACCTGGGTAAGTGCCACTCAGGTTAAAGAATAGAGCACTTTCAGCACCCAAGAAACCCACTGAATATTCCCTCCAATTTATCATGCTCTTCCTTCTCTCCAAAGGTTACCACTGTCCTGACTTATAACACCATAGGTTAGCTTTATTTGTATTTGGGCCACATAGAATTAGAATCATACATTATATATTCTTTCAGGTCTGGCTACTTTCACTTACTGTTATATTTGAAAGTTTTATTAGATCTGCATGTAATAGGAATTCATGTATTTTCATAGCTGAATAGTTTTCCATTCTATAAATATACTGTGAATTATTTACCCATTCAATTGTCCATTTAATGGATATTTGGGTTGTTTAAAATGGGAGGTTATTCTGAATAATGCCGCCCCGAGCATTCTTATATATGCCTTTTGTGTACCTTTCTGTGGGAGTACATACCTGCAAGTGAAACTGCTGAGTCAGAAAGTACGCATAGAGCACTCAGCATCAGAGGAGACCTGCCAGAGGGTTTTCCAAAGTGGAAATATGCCAGTTTACACTTCCACCAATAGCGTGTATGTTCAAAATCCTTGCTAACATTTTGTATTGTCAGGCTTTTAAATTATGGTCAATCCAGTAGGTGTTAGTGCATGCATTGTGTTTTTTTTTTTATTTTCCTGAAGACTGATGAAGTTGAGTAACTTTGAAAATGTTAATTGGCAATTTGGCTACCTTTGGTGAAGTGTCTGAGCATGGCATGGGTTATTTGTTTTCCTTATTGATTTGCAGTTTTTGTATATTCTGGACATGCGTGATATGTGTTGCAAATAACTTCTTCCACTATGTCAATTGCCTCTTTGGTACTTTAATGGCATTTTGGGGTGAACAGAATGTCTTAACATTAAAGGGCCATAATGTATCTTTTCCTTTCTGATAGGACATTTTGTGATGATTTAAAAATCTTCTTAACCTAAGATCATGAAGATATTCTCCCATGTTAACTTCTAGAACAGGGTTTGGCAAACTATGGACTGTGATCCAAATCCATTCTGCCAACTGTTTTTATAAATAAAGTTTTATTGGGATAGAGTCATGCTCATTCATTTACACATCACCCATGATACTTTTGTGCTACAACAGACCTTATGGCACACAAAGCCCAGAATGTTTATTCTCTGGCTCTTTACAGAAAAGGTTTGCCAAAGCCTCTAGAAGATTTATTGTTTCACCTTTCACATTTGGAATTGATATTTGTGTATAGTGTGTGGTAAGGATCAAGATTTTTTTTTCTATATGAATATCTAATTAAACAAGTGTCATTTATTAAAAGATTATCTTTTCCCCATGATTCCCTATGTCATAAATCAAATCAAGTATACATATATGCATGGATCTGTTTCCAGGTTTTCAATACTTTTTATTGGTCAATTTTTCTGTTTCATGACCAATGCCACTCTGTTTTACTTGGTGCACTTTTAAAAATGAGCCTTGATATCTTCCCGGTTCATTTCTCATCAAGATTGTCTCTGTTACTGTTAAGACTTGACATATCTGTATTAGTTTTAGAATCAGCCTATCAATTTCCTCAAAACACCTTCCTGGGATTTAGATTGGCATTATATTGATTCTGTAGATCAATTTGGAGAGGTTGGACTTATTTACGATGATGATTCTTCCAGTTCATAAAAGTGATATATTTTTAATTTATTTAGATCTTCTCAATTTATTTCAATAATATTTAGACCTGCCTTTGATATCCTGTAGGTATTTTGATAGGTTTACCTCTAAGTATCTTTGACGCTACGATAATTTATGTCAACACTAGCTTTTGTGTAAAAAAAAAAAAACCTACTAACTAGTCACCTACTCATATGGTTTAGCTCTGTGTCCCAAACCAAATCTCATGGTAAACTGTAATCCCCATTGTTGTCGGAGGGGACTCGTGGGAGGTGATTGGCTCCTGGGGGCAGATTTTCCCCTTGTTATTCTCATGACAGTGAGTTCTCAGTGATGTAGTCGTTTAGAAGGGTATGGCACCTCCTCCTTCTTTCTCTTCCTCCTTCTCTGGCCATGTAAGATGTACCTCCTTCCTCTTCACCTTCCACTGGTAATTGTCAGTCTCCTGAGACCTCTGCAGCCATACTTCCCGTGCAGCCTGCAGAATCAGGAGCCAATTAAACCTCTTTTCTTTGTAAATCACCCAGTCTCAGGTAGCTCTTTATAGCAATGTGAAAACAGATAATACACCCAGCAAATGCCATGCTGTAGTGGAAATACTGTGGAGACCTAAAACAATATTACATGTTCTAAGAAATAAAAATTGTTGGGTGGTAAAGGGAAGTGACAAGCCTGGCAGAAAAAACATCACCACACAGAGCACATGCATATAAACATACTCACTTAAGTCTCTATCTCTTCTGTGGGTTGAGAATGCCTACTGGTATTGGCTCACATGGACTTGTTCTCTTAAGACGCCATGACAGAATGGAAAGAGTGTTGGTGGAATGTCAGGACTCCTGAATCCTAAGCTTGGTTCTTCACAGACTAGTGAAATTTCAGGCATAGCTCTACTTAACCTCCTTAGATCTCAGTCTTTACACCTCTAAAAACTGAATTGGCGCTAACATTGACTTGTAAATAAGGAAAGGGAACCATTTGGTTCCAGGTGAGTTTTGACATAGGGATGTCCTGGGTATGATTTGGGGGGGGGGCGGGGCCTGCCTGCAAAGAGATTTCTTAAAGAAAAGCAATCTCCCCACTAGTTTGTGAATACTTAGCAGTTTGACAGAAACAAATGTCTCTGAGAGAGGGGATCCCTGAGGTGAACAAGCAGAGGAATAACAGGTGCAAGAAGAGGTCACAAGGATCAGGCACAGGGGTCTCACCTGAAGTACGTTCAGAGGTGGAGGAGGTTCAGGAGAAAGCATGGAGGCAGAAGTGCAACGAAGCTGGCAGTGCCCATGCAGGGACTTCCCTTTGAATCGTGAAAATTTCACAGGAGAGATGACTGAGGATTCTGCCTTAAAAGTCTTTAAAGAAAGAGTTGCAATCAATGAACAAAAAGTGCTGCCATTTCTGTTTGTGTCTAACAGTGGTGATGAGGCGTGGGTAGAGCAGCAAAGGCTGTTTGTCAAAATCCATGGTCCTCCTCGCCTAGTAAAATATTCGTCCTGAAATCTCTCCTGATCTTTGATCTCTGATCTTTGCTGCCCAATCAGAGACTCCATTCCCAGCACACTGGTGCCTCTGGGTTGGGCCAGTAGAATATACAGAATTAATATTTGTTACCTCTGAACCGCTATGATTAAGAAGCATGTGTGCCTTCTCCATCTTTTTTTTCTCTTTCCACAGCTAGAACCTGAGGACTCCAAGTTCCCAGGAGATAGTGGAGCTGTGAGATGTAAGTAGCCTGTCTTAGCTTTGTGCTGCTACAACGGAATACCTGGGACTGGATAATTAATTAAAAACTGAAATTTATTTCTCATAGTTCTGGAGGCTGGAAAGTCCAAGATGGATGCACCAGCATGTTAATTGCTCAGTGAGGGTCTAGTCTCTGCTTCCAAGATGGTGCCTTCAATACTGCAACCTCTAGAGGGAAGAAGAGATGTGTCCTCACATGGTGGATGGCAGAAGGGCAAAAAGGGATGAACTTCTTCTATCAAGACCTATTATAAGGACATCTAATCTCACTCATGAGAGTGGAACCCTTATGTCCTAATCACCTCTTCAAAGCCCTACCTTTGAATACTATCACATTGGCAACACCTGAATTTTGGTTGGATACATTCAAGCCACAGCAGAGCTTTGATCCTTGAGTTATCTCATTGAGAAAAGTTGTGTGCCCACCAGGAATACTTGCATCAGACTGTTCTGTGGATGGGAAATAAAATTCTGCTGTGTTAAGTCACTAAAGTGTGAGGTTTATTTGTTACAGCAGCCAATGTTAACCTAAATAATGCAGTTTGTTTCTGAAACAATTCACAGTGTTGACAGTAAAGGAATAAAAGCACAATGTTGTTATATTACTGCCATTTCACCTAGGAAAAGAGAAAATGTGAAAAGAGGATCACTAAAAAAAAAAAAGTTTCCCCAAACTTTTTTAAGTCACTGGAGAATGTTCCCAATTTATATAAAAATAGGATGATAATGATGTCAACACATAATTTCTATGCCTAATAGATTTGCACTCCCCCAAGTTGCATTTTAATTTCCCTAAATTGGCTCATGACATATTCTTATGTGGGATTCAACATTTAGCAACAAATAAGACTTCCTGCTCTCTTGGCACTTCTTACTCCTCCCTTTACCCCACGCATCCATATCCCTGCTGCCTTCTCCTTCCCACAAAGCTCATTTTTGGCAAAAAGGTTTTTATAAACCACACATTTTAATGAATTAAGTGTAGTCCCACAATCACACTTACATTCTCCTACAGTCCCCTGACTTCCACACTCCTCCAGCTATGGGAATTTTCCATCACACCTCCAGAAAGGAAAAAAAAAATTGTCTATAAGTGGAAAAGTTATGCACAGAATGTGATGGTTCTCCCATTTTTCTTTTTCTTTCTTTTTTTTTTTAATGCAAGAAGGAAGATGGTTTTCAAACACTGCACGTCCTCTGAGAAACTAAAATATTCAGTGCTGTTTTTCTTTTGGCAGTAGCATAATTGGTTGTGATCATAAACCCACATAGTTCCTTTTATCCTTTTTAGTGGCAGCTTCACGGACTGTCTTCTACCGTGTTAAAGAAGAGGGTTGGGGTGTTTGACAGCAAAGAAATTTAGGAGACATTCAGAGCAAAAAGGAGCTTGTACATCATAATTTCCAACCTTCTTATTTTACTGCTGAGGATACTGAGGTTCATAGGTGGTTTAACTTGTGCAGAGTCATGGGGTTAGCCAATAGCTTCTGCATTGGTTGGCCAAGACCCAACTTGAACAATATCACATAAAGTTTCAATCACACAATCTTCTTGGATCACTGCAACCGCCGCATGATGGTACTGGAAGCACCTTCTGCTGGAGAAGTGGGAAGACGTAAGAATGCTCATCAGAGTGGCAGCTCTTGGAATTGAGTTCCTGATTACTGAGTCCATGTTCTCAACTCCACCTAGCAATTTTTTTCTATTATTTGTGGCGGCACCAACAAAGCATTAGGCACTTTGCCAGGGTCTGGAGTTACCTAGACAAAGGGCATAATCTGTGCTCTCCAAGAGCATACAGTTTAGTGAGGGCAGATATGATTCCCATCCAGTATGATCAATGCTTCCATCCTTTGCACTTGCCATGCAGTCATTTAAGAAGCAATGGTTGCATTTCCCAAGAAAAAACAGCAGTGGTAGCAGCAGCAGTGGCAGCAGCAGCAGCAGCGGCAGCCGATGGCTGACTCACCAAACGAGGAGGCACCAACAGCTTTGCCTCCAAACTAAGGAACATCTTACTCAAACTCCCTCCCACCCCTGATCACCACCTTTAGGCTTGGAACCAATAAAGGCTTTGGAAATGAAAGATAATGTGCTAATAGGATGTTAAAACAAAACCACTCTCACCACCCACCACCAGAGGTAGTTTGTGTAAAGGCGTTATTCCCCAGCCTCGCGCTTCATTTCATGACTCCAACTTGTGGCACTTAGCTTGGTTTGCAAGTGTTGCTTATCCAGAAAGCTCAGAGATTGCTTTTGGCAAAGGACTCGAAGTAGGCAGATCCAACCCCTCTCGCTGTCTCTTTCTTGTTGCCAAAACATAAGACTCTTAGTTTGATGGAAAACTAGTGTGAATTTTGCATCCAAGGAATAACCTGAGATTACAGTTAAAATTAAGTAGTAGAGGAAGGTTGAGAATTAGAAAAATTAAGATCTGGTCTTGAAAATTAATATTGTGTATACCATACATACTCTGTATACCATACTATTAATACTGTGTATTAATTGTAACTCTTGAACAAGGTTATTCACCACTTGGTTTTAGTTTTTTCATCTTTGAAACAAGAAGAGTGAACTAAATCTTTTCTAAAGTCTCCAACAATTCTGGCACTACATACATTCATAATTTTGTTATTTAATTTTAGAGAATATTTATTGAGTTCAGTTACCATTAGTTATGTGCCAGTCACTGTGATACACACTGGAAAAAGAGGTGAGAGGCCCAACTCCCTTTCACATAGCAGAAAGACTAGCTAGGGAGTGGAGTAGTTAAAATTTAGCAGGAGGCATGGGGTTGAAGAAGTGTGTACAGGAAGCTGTGGTGGACAGCTGGGCACCTCCAGATTCACTTGATCTTTCTCCGCTGATAGGAATCAGAACATGCCAGTCTAATATAGGCAACTTTAATGTATTGATTGTTTTGAGCTGAATGAACAACAGATGTAGGAAAGGCTCTCTGATCTCTTTCTACGCAAAAGCTGGCACAGATTTCCTACAAGAGAGTTGCCTGCCCTTCCCTTTACCAAGAAGAAGAGAACATTCTTATTACTGAACACAGAGAGTCAATGTCAAGATGAATCTGTACAAACAAACCTACTAAAATAAGCTTTATCTTTCACTAGTTTCCCCAGTATTTCCTAGTCACTTTCACATAGTCTGCTACTCCAGCCCAAACTCCTTTTGCTTCTGTGTTGTCACATCTCCACAGTTGATTATTCTTTGTTCAAATGGTATACACCTGGTCAGGCCTCTTCATTTCTTCTTTCTATGAAGGCTTCTGTGCCATGCAAAAATATTAACATCAAATAAAATGTATACACTTTTCTCCTGTTAATCTGTCCTTTGTCAGTTTAATTCTGACAAAGGCCCAGCTGCAGAACCTAAGAGGGTAGAGGACAAATCGTTCCTCCCTTACACCACCTTTGCTCTTCCCTGGGAGATTGGTCTACATGGACCACGTCAACAAGACTCCTGGGCCATATGGTTTCTCATTGGATTCCACTGATGGACAGCACTTTAGGAGATTGGGGGAGAGAGGAGAGGCAGCTCTGGAGTATTTCTTTCTCTCCCTGGGAGGATGACTTCATCAAATGTCACTGCTCATCCCAAACTCACCTACTATCTCCCTTACTTTCTCCCTTATCACCTATGAATAATGAGAGCACCACTGCTGCTGCTAGTCCAGAGTGTCTAACCAGTTCCTGCAGCGTCACTTAACTACACCCACAACTTTATAATTAGTTCCTTGTAAATAAATTTTCCTCATATTTAGATTGATCAGAGGGTGTCATCTGTTTTCTGTTGAGACCCTGGATGGTGTAGGCATGAAACATGCTTTTGAGACGTGTGTATATTGGAGGTAGAGAAGGAGCAGTTAGTTAAAGGGAAAGAAGGGGCAGGAGAAGGGGGAAAGTGTCTCAGAGGAAAACAGAGCTAAATCTTGAAAGATGTACTGAAAAAACACAATGTCTTGAAAGAAATAAGGAGAAAGGAGAAATAATTTTAGAGAGAAGCACGTGGAAGCTCAGAGGCTTGAAAGTGTCCCGGGGAAGGTGCAAATGTTCAAGGTGACTGCAGGGAAGGACTGGCAGGTGGGAGGATGGTAGGCGATGAGGCTGGAGGGGAGGTAAGGGAGAGATTATGAAGGACTCTGTGTTCCGTGAATGAGTTTGGGTTCTATCCTGAAGACAATGGGAAATTATTGAAAGATTTTTAAGCAGAAAAGTAACAAAATCTGGTTGGAATGTCGAAAGATCCCTCTGGTATGTAGTGTGGGAAGAAGCAGAACTGGAAACAGGTTGACATGTTTTTTCAATGACCAAGGCAAGAATCAGCGACAATATGAAATTTTGCAGTGATGGTAGGGCAGCAGGAGGTATGTATGGAAACTATTGAGGAACAGAGAGAATTTGGTGATAAATTTGGTACAGTGGTAAGTCTGAAATGATGCCCAGATGCTTGGGTTGGGCCAGTTAATAGACGGTGGAATCATTCATAAACAGAGGGGATCCTACAGGGAGAACTGTATTAGTCTGTTCTCATATAAAAAAAATACCGGAAACTGGGTAATTTATATTTAAAAAAAAAAAAGAGGTTTAACTGCCTCACA